TTTGAATGACGTTGACATTTTTTATAGTTATCGAAAATAATAAAATGCTCAGATGATATATTCTACCTACACCTACCTAATTGCTTATCGGTGATAATTTTTTGATGATTTTAATCCAAAAAAAAGTTCACAATTGTTTTTTCCATATGAAAAGATTTTAAAACGGTATGGGTCAACAAATAAAGCTATCTTGGTAAGGCAAGGGGTGCGGGGATGAATAACGAGCCACGTCAGAGCGATGTGTGCCGTGAGCCTGCCCTCGCAGCCCGGCTTAGCCTGCCGATTAATCGTAGCTAATTTGAACCGAAACCGAATTCAACCGGACGAATGCATTGAGCCGACGATTTGTATGCGACTAATTGAGACTTTGATTTAATGCTGGATTGACACCGTCAACTCGATGCGAGTATTGCAATGTCAATTGAACACAGTTTCTTGTTGATATGGGTAAATCAAAATTGACTTAAAAGATATGTTAGGAAGACAATATTATTTGTTGATGTTTTACTAGGAAAAGCAAGCAACTACAACATAACTATTAGTGCTTGAGGTCGAATTATTCGCTGTCAACTTATGTATTCGGAACCTCATACAAAAGTGTTAATTGAAACTACGAGAAGATTTGCATTTGATAATCATCTTTATTCTTCATATGTGCTATATAAGTACGTTGTTTACTCAGTACGACATTTCCTTGTATCAGTACGTACAGTAATAGTAAGATGCATAAGGAAAATTTGGTACACAACGTCCCATTGCTTTGTCATCGATTACTGGTAACTCAAATGTTAAGACTCAGATTTCATTTTAATTAAGTGTCCATTGCCCATTTAAAACATTCTTGATCTTTGTTCGACGCAGTTTCCATGTCGAATGTCATCAGAATTGTATACTACGTTGCTACACGTGAGATTTTTCGTAATTCATATACTATGTAGTGGGTTATTCCACAAAAAAATATCAATAAATACATTTCATTGAAAAGCGACATCTGCGTCAGTTGTGATACCTTTAAAAGTATCGGCTGCGGAAAGAAGGTTATTCAAAAATCTCTCACTAGATGTCACTAGCGGCGACGAATGCCAAAAGTCAGTACAAAGATCTATAACAAAAACACAAAGGACAATTACGACGACTCGGTAACTGGACCAGTGGCTTAGATGGTTAGAGCAATGCTACGGTGCAGCATGGACGTGGGTTCAAGACCTACCGGGTTCGACGAAAATTTTTCTGAGTGTTCGATCTTTGTATTCATAATTATAACAAAATTGGTGGAGTTATTTCACAAAGAAAATCTCAATAAATACGTATACTATGTAGTTATAGCTAGGATTATACTGTCTGACCTTGTGTGTAGTGTTATAAATCTACCAGTTGATAGGCAGTCGTGAAGGGGTCTTTATGTAAATTAGAAAGCAGCGTTACTTTCTTTAGGAACCCGTTAACCAAGCAAAACAATTATAACTAAATTTCCCTTTTAAGAAACACCAATATTCATCATTAGATTCTAATATATTTATAACATAGAACATACGAGTACATCGCCCAGACAACCACAACAACCTTAATCGTAACAATCCTATTAGTAATTTTGTTAATGAAACATGATCAAGCACCAGTCAAAGAGAGAACAAAACAAACAGCAGACATTTCATTAAACCAGAGATAATCATGTCAATTAATTGGAGTTAGCATTGAGAACCGGTTGCACGCATGCGCCGGCTAAACGAACCAAGATAATGCGACGAGGAAGCGGTCAAGGATGTTAATATGTCTTAATATTAACTATTGCACTTGATATTCACAATTATTATTAGTTCAAGTAATTTTGACTATCTATCTTATGATTGAATCTTTGTCGATGCTGTTTAATAGGTAACATTTAAAATATGAACAAATTGGTGAAGTGTGAAAATATAATTAAAATTAGTTGAATAATATTATTGCGTGCATTTGCAACAAAGGTGTACAAAGAATCGGAAATACCTATTTGTGACGTCATATATGAAATTTCAGCAGCGAAATACAAGAACTACTATGATTAAAAGAGTTGGCTGCTTCGTCTGACTTTGAAATTTCAGCAGCGAAATACAAGAACTGCTATGATTAGAAGAGATGGCTAAGCAGCCATCATAGCAGTTTTAATAGCCAGTATTAGACTTTAGCCATTACGCCGATCGTCACAGTTGATTTTCATACAAAATAAAAATCTCAATTTTCGCTCACTGCGACTGCTTTTTGAGTATATATTATTGTACCAATAAAATAGCTTTTTTTCGATTATCTCATATTTATAATCATTACTTTCGCCTTGCCAAAGCCATCTACTGGCTATTAGATTTCATAAAACCGAGACCATCAGCCTTAATATCTCTAGTTGCGACATCGAAGGACCAATTTCGTATCCATATTCAGTATGTTTTAGCATCTTTCTTTCAGTTCGTTGGTACAATATGAAAATCTGAGAAAATTTGCATGTTATGTAACTACATGTTCATTATTGTAATTGTAGGTGTTTTGCAAATCTGACTGCATGATTTTTGAAGATTTGATTCTCTGTCACAAACGGGTTTGATTTTAAGCATTTCAGACTTAGGTACAATTACTTGTTAACCAGGAAGAAAATGTGCGTTCTTAATTGCTGTGGCATTTTTTGATGGTACTTCTCTGCGATACTTACTTGAAAGTAATTGTAAATACCACTTTTTCACTGGCCTAGATATAAAGAATATGTATAGTATTTTCTATATTCATAAATATACATAGATGTTCTTTATTATACGTTACATATTGCATACAACATATGTGCTATAAACACATATGTTTATAACAGTTATGTACGTGTTGCTAATATTTATTTATTTGTTAGATTATACGATTCCTTTCATTTTCTTTGTTACCCGCTTATGACCTTTGTTCTCACTGCTTTGGGTTGGTCCGAAGATATCTCTTTTAGACTACCTTTGCTCCCTTTTCGTATAATTAATATTTCTCTTGTATTCCTTTGGTGCAATAAAGAATATATCACTGCTTTTCGAGAATAGTGACCCAATCCAAAATAACTCCTTTTTCGACCTATGACTGATATGTGTCGGAAACATGCAAAATTTTATTGTGAATGGGACACAAAGTTTTTCATTTGTTGAAATAATCACATTCCAAAGTTGGGACAGTCTTCTTCTTCTTCATCAACCCATTTACACATCGCTCTGCTGGGATCGTACGACATATGTCTCAATTTTGAGTCGCAGTTTTTTTTTTTGTACCATCTTACTGACGAATTAGTTGCTTTTGAGATACGCCACTATTCTGGAAAACCATCAATACATACTTATTTTTCTTAAGCCATCCTGATGCTTTATTTCAATCCAAATTTAGTTATATTATATGTATGGTAGTTCATATGTGGAATAAGTTCCCCTTTACTATTTGACGAATCGACCAAACTTAAATTGTTCGCTGTTTTTTATTTGTAAATGAAAGCGTAATTTCTTTAAAGGCACTAATCCAGGGCGGGCGATCGCCAGTGACAGTGACACATCGGTACACGGCTCGCTGTCCGACTGTAATTCTACCCAGGCCCACACGAGAGCCGCAGCGAATTTCGTTAAACAATCAGCAATTGTTGTCAATTAAGTCTGGAAAAAATATTGTTTTACGATTCACCGTTGTAATATAGTTTTAAGTCTTCATTAGAGTTGAAATATTTTTATTTGTCTTTATTGTTTACAGAGGGTTTTGTTCTAATGAACACAACACCCTCACAATGACACATCCAACAAAAAGGTTACAAACTAAAATAATTAGTCTTGTCGTAAGTCCGGAATCCACTACATTGTACAGAGTCTTAGCCTCTCTAATACACTGAAATACCGGTAACAACACCAATGTTATTATTATTAATTGGTATAGATCTTTGCACCTCGTTCCTTTTACACTCCATAACTACATACCATATCCACTACAATTGAAACTATCAGCTTCTCTCATAATAATAATAATAATAATATTAATAATAATAATAATATTCATTTATTCTCTCCCAGACACATGATCATAAATGCATACTTATTAACGAGCGTTGAAATAATTCGAATAGGACACAAAAAGCGTCATATGGTAAACAGTTAAAACTAGAATTATAAATCTAGCGACATTGTGAAAATCTACAATATACTCGTAGCATCGCACCAATTTTGGTAAAATTTATCGAAATTTAACAATCCGCTTAAAAGCATCACCCTGTGCAAACGACTACTTTTGTTGATCTTGAAAAGGTATCAATCTATTACCGATGGAAACATTCAATCGGAGTACTTCAAAACCGCAGTCAAAACCGCGAGTATCGCTCAGAGTCCCACCGATCAATCACCATCCATTAAACAAGAAAAGAAAAGTGCTTTCCCCAAACGATTGGCCCTCGAATCAGCCCAATTTACATGAGAGCCGCTTTTTCCTGGCATCGAGATTAGCCCTGAATGAGTTTGATGAATCGCTCGCACCCCGCAAGCGGCGTGGTACGACTCTCGGCCGGCGAGCGGTCATTTGTTAAAAATACACCCGATCCACGGATCTAATTGTCTCCTCTAATTTCACACCCCCCGTGATATCTGCGCCGCGTTTAAATTAACTGTTTTTTTTTTCGTTTTAAATTAACTCGCTTACTCGACTTTACGTTCGTGTCTATTTCATTTAGCGCTTCAGCAGGTTTATATTTTTTGATCACAATATTTCCCTGTAATTTTTCTTTTGTTTAATGGTAATGTTGATGAAAGCAGAAACGAAAAAGAAATTAAGACAGTCAAATAAAAGCAGAATTAGTAAAATCCGGATGTTACACATCTAAGTTGTCAACCAATTACACTTAGGTAGGTTTGATATCTTTAACAATGATCGAATGAATCGTCACGTCGCCGACTAGTTCTCGAACACCAGTATGTTTTATAGATAAAAATTGTAACTCTGCATGTGAGTTTGGGTGATAAGTAAGTATAGCTTACCTCTCGAGATGTTTTACGATGTCCTCGTATGCTGCTCTACAATTCTCCCAAATACCAGATCTGTAGACAAAGAAAAATAAAATAAGAAAAACGAAGAAAAGGTATAGAGAAACTGGAATGATTAAATTAGAAACTAAAGATGATAATGAAGGTGAGAAACAAGTATAAGTACATCAATTTTAATTTACTAACTTCATAAAAATTGTGTTTTTAAAATATTTTTAACGAGTTCAATTGAGAGACAAAAATCGTCAAACAAAGTCTTTGAGAGTGCTTTACAGTAAGTTTCTAAATAAAAAAGGGTTTGAATCTAAAAAGAATAATTATGAGCACTCGATATTAAATGTTCCGTTAGGCTGAGCGAGGGGTCGAAGAAATTAATTATGTTTTAAAAACAATTGCTTATATTTGTACTGTAACAACTCATGCGTGATCGTTGAAATTGTTTCTCGATTACTTTGGCTCTTTGTTTTTCATTAAACTTTCCTTCGACATTCATTATTAAAGGAACTTAGCACTAAGTGTTACAAAGGATTCTAATTATTATTTGGTTGTAGATATTTTTTTTTTATTGCAACTACCAATATTTTACTTTTTAATGCGATAACGTGTTGGAATGAATAATGAATGACACTACGAGTGTGCATAGAATGTTTCGTTTTATTTGAAATGGCATGCTCTGTTGGAAATATTAATTGTCTTTGTAAAAGTCCGATCGTAACATAAAGGTCCGATCGTATTTCAACTAATGATTGGACTCGAGTTAAGCGATGATGTTACATACATATATTCATACCCTATATAAATATGGGAGGTCATTCGAACATTTCGTTGCTTTGTAAGAATTCAAATCGAAATATATTTATGGTACGGCTGTATTTAGAATATTTTAAATTATACTGTGAATAAGGAGATACTAAGGTCTCCACTCAATACAAAATCAAGTAACAACATAGAGCGATAAATTATGGGTTTTCGAGATAGACCGCTAATTTAGAAAGCAATGAATTTGTATAAGAATCCGCAGTTTTATTTCCGTGATTTTTAAATTTTGCTAAGGCTATTTTTTACATGAGTGTGATCAACATATTTATAATAAAAAAATTGTTTTTACGCCTATGCTTGTATAATAATATGACTTATTCTTATACGTCTAAAATATTGATATAAATTTGATATTTACTTCCCCGAGACTTAGAATTTTGGTGGTAGTCAAAATTTTTCAAACCAACAAAAAAGAATTGATATATAAAACGCAATTTTTTTAGAGATATAAAATTTTAAGTGTACATTTCGACAGAACTCAAAAAACTGAACAAATCTGTATAGGTATATAACTCATTTTCGACATTTTGTTCTTATAGAACTTATAGAATTTTGTTCTTATAGTCCAATTGAGTCTAAAGGTATCGATCGATATACAGTGTATTTTTTAATGGTACTATATGGAAAAATCTAAAACCATAGAAAAATAGGAAACTGTTTTAGGAACCATTAAGTCTTTTTTGTGAAAACAATTTTGGCATAGTGATTGGCATTTTTTGTCAAACGAGAGTTATCCATAAAAATGAATAAAATTTATCAAAATTTGTTTAGTGCTGATCGTCTCAGTTTTATGTAAGGATCATTTCATTGTATGGGAGGAAAAAAATTGGGACAGCAGAAGTTGGTCAAATGTCATACAAAATGAATAAAATTGGCTATTTTTTTTAATGCTGATAGACTCAGCTTTATATAAGCATTATATAAGAAACTGAGTCTATTAGCATTAAAAAAATTGATGATTTTATTAATTTTGTATGAAAAAATATTGACAATTTCGGCTGTCCAGATTTTTTTTCACAATATTACTTTAAGTAAATGAGACCAAAGTACAAAATAATTGCAAATACATATGCGGATGCTTGATGATGTGATGATGTTGGCGGTTGATGATGGAAGTATTAAAAAAGGTCGGGATTGACTATAGAGATAGACGAATTGTATATGAACTATACAAAAATGAAGAGACCATCATAGAGATAGAAGACGAAAGTAGGAAAGCAAAAATTAACACAATATAATAAGGCTGTTCACTTTCACCTCTCATCTTCAACATTTTTATCGAACACGCAATACAAAACATTATAGAAACATCTACAGAGGGTATAAGAGTGAATGGTCACAGGGTGTTATTTCTTAGATTTGCTGATGACATAGCTGTAGTTACAGAAAACAGAAACCAATTGGAAGCCCTACTCAATTAGATGAATCTAATTTTTAAGGAAATTAAGTTGATGATTAACAAAAATAAGACCAAAGTACTAGTAACTGCAAAATATCATTCCAAAATTACATCCATCAAAATAAATGACATTCTAGTAGAGCAGGTAACACATTTCAAATATTTTGGAAGTGTTATCACAGAAGATTCCAAATGTACAACTGACATAAAGACTAGAATCGCAATAGTAAAACAGGCTTTCCATAATAAAAAACATATTTTCACCTCGAAAATACCTATACCAATTGAAAAAAAGATTCATCAAAACCTATGTCTGGAGCACCGCACTGTATGGATGTGAGACATGGACAATAACATTAAAAGACAGAGAGAGATTGGAGTTATTTGAAATGTGGTGCTGGAGGCGAATGGAAAAAATAAAATGGATTGAAAAGACATCAAATAAGGAAGTTTTGGATAGGGTTGGGGAGGAGTGAGGTCTTTTAAATGCAAGAGAGAAGGGGGAAAATGTTTGGTCATTCGTTATGTAATGACAAATTTGTGAAAGTGATAATTGAGGGGAGAATAGAAGGGAAAAGAAAAAGAGGAAGACCGAGAATGGCGTATAGTGAACAAATAAAAAAGAAGATCAAAGTGAACAGCTATAAAGAGGTCAAAGAATGATGGACCGTGAGGAGTGGAGAAAGCTACACCAACAAGAATAAGAATAATAAATAAGATGACGATACGGATGCTATTTTCAGGTATAAAACATGTCCAATCATTAGTTTTTTTTAATAAAATAAAGTAATAAAAAATAAAATAATGTTCCAGAAAAAAAAATTGAATGTGAGTTAAACCACTTTTGCGCTGATAGCCTCATTTTAGGATTTGAACTCTCGATTACTGTCTTCTCATTACAAAAAGGTCTTATAGGAGAAAATGGTTCTAACCTAAGCTGTTTGAAAATTCCATACAAATGTGCACTTATTTAGTTCAACAGAATAACAGCCAACAAGCGCCCCTAAATCGATTCGCACTCAGTTCGGAGTAGGGCAACACACTCGTCACACTAGTCGAGTGGCAAGACTGTGGGGAAGTCAAGTGAGCATTGTGGGTCTTCAGGAAGTCAGGGCACCCACTATTTGTACTTTTCTAACTGGATTAACTCCGAGACATTTAACCTCCTTTGACCTGCTTACAGGCTTCTTTTTCGACTCGGTAATGCTTGCCTAAGCCGTTTACCAGGCGAAGATTTGTTCTTTTCAATGTGTTACTTGATACTTCGTTTTCCTTTATAAATAAAAAAAAAACTGTATTATAGCATTATAAAACTAATACATTTAATAAGTCTTGGCAATTGTATTTATATATAGGTATCTACTGTATCTGTATAAAAGCCGGTTTGACCTACCTTCTCTCAAACAGAAGCCGTGTGTTCGAATCCGTGTTTCTCGGAATTTACGTATGAAATTTAATTTGAATTTTACCATGAGCTTATCGGCAAAGCAAAACATCGTGAATAAAACTTGCGCGTCGAAAAAGGTTCACAACCCAACATGTGAAGCCCCCAACACTCATTGGGCCAGCGTGGCGGACTATGGCCTAAAGTTCTTTTTTATGATACTTAGGAGCGGGACCAACAAGTCGTGCGCCTGGTGGTAAGCGTCACGCCTGTTCAAAGCAGTTGCATTGCCACTCAAAGGGCTCCCACTGCGCCCGTTACCCTGAGACATATGGGTAAAGGTGCTTGTGAAATTACAGGCACATGGGACTTGTCAACTTATGTCTCAGGGTGACGGGTGTAGTGGCAGTGCCCCTCAGATCTTTGCGATTTAAAACTCTGAGTAATACTGCAACTGTTAAGGACAGGCGTGTAGCTTACCATCTGGCGCATGACGTGTCCGTCCCGTCACTTGATATTATATAAAAAAAAGACTTAAGTGGAAAAGCCTCATGTGCCAGTAATTTCACCAGCCCCTTTATACCCTTCAAATCCAGAATGCAGTAAAGCTCGCATTACTGCTTGGCGACAGAAATAGGTACGGTGGCAATAATACCCTGAACGAAATGTTTCACAAGGAGCTCTACTGCTACGAACCTGAGAGGAGACCCATGCCCAACAGAGGGACGTATAAATAGGTTGATTATGATTACTGTATCTACATGCTCAAGTTACGTAAATAATAGAGCACAAAGCTTATTTGAAACACATATATTTACAAGTTTGGATTATATGTAGGTATCCGTATACCGAACAAAATAGACGCAGGTACGTAAAATATGTGCATAATACGTATTTACATATTAAATTTTGCCCTTGTATGTTTAAACTTTCTCAACTCTTTGTATACCTTACCGAAACGTGTATCAGTTTTACTGGAAAGATTATAGTCAAAGTAAACAGTCCTTGTCCACAAAATATGGCGTTAGTTTATCTTTTCAATCAATAAAACCGAAATAGCTAACTTTTTACGACAATGGTAAAGTTATGACAAATAGCTACCGGGCACAACTATACCGGGTAACCAAGCTGTTTCCGATGCTGTAAAATAATTATAATCACCACCAATTTCCGGTCGAGAATAAGAACTTTCATAGGAGGGATAAATCCAGAAGACGGGCAGGTTCGTCTGCTTGTGTATTACATTGTAGTATTAGGTAATTATTTTCAATCTTTGTAGAAGTTGTTGCAAATCCTCTACATCTATGTTGAAGCTTTTGTACAGTAGATCATCGTAGTCTAGTATGGTATAACTATATTACGGGTTGGTATATATGAAATAGTTAACGAAATTGGGAAATTATACTATTAGACACAGTTTGTACTTGTTGTACAATACGACCTCGGCCGCACCAGTGGTTAGCATTATGGGCGCTTAGTGCCGAGGTCCTGGGTAGGTTCTGTCTAGGGAACGAATTGTTTTATTAAAATAGTTCTGGTCTGGGTATTTTGGATTTGTGCCCCTAGAAAATTCATGGCTCTGGTGCTCAAAGTACAGGTAATCTCTAATTTGTTACCAGGTAATTGGTGAGAGTGCCTGGCAATAAACATTACCTAATAAATTTCAATAATATACACACATGATATGCCATGTATTGTTTTGTAATTTGAATGTATTTTATATGATGTTATGTTTTCTAATATACTAAGAGGGAGGGGAACTTAGTGATCTGTAACACAGGTTTCCAACCTATTATAAATTCCAGCTCTCACTAAGGAACTTGTTATTTTACGTAAGATTGTAACTTCTCATAGAACTTTTTGAAAGAAAGTATAGCATTTTGTATTTGTATAAAGTATAGTCGGTCGCAAGTACCAACATGGAAACTGTCAAATCGCCTTTGCAGTTAAATTTTCTAATGCATTAATCATTATTACAACAAAGGACTGTTAATATTTTTTGAATATAGCTATGTTTCTTCATTTTGTGTTGACGCTTGCAAGCGTGTGCGGTAGTATTGAGTGCATTTTTGGGCCTGTCACAGTCATTGATTAATGTATATTAAAAAAATGTTACAATTGTATATTAAATCCTGAATCATTCACAACTATTTTTGTTTTGGTTGTACCAGAGTAACAAAAATAAAGTCTGAAGATACTACTAAACTTAAACTAATTAATAATAATAATAATAAAAATTAATCTTTTAGGCATTAGGAGAGGCGAGAGTCTAAAATAGATATAATAATAATAATAATAATAATAATCTTTATTGACCAAAAAGGATTACATTAATTTGCATTTACACTATTTAACTACGTTACATAACTCTTTTCTACCAATGATTTCTCGCGGTCCTTGCACAAGTATATACTTGTATCGCAGAGACCTAGTATATTATGTCCAGTAATTTACATTTATGGGACACAGTTAAGTTAAATAGTTTCAAGGGGTTTTAAAAAGTGTTTACATTAAATTTTATAAACCTCCTTATGACTTGGAACCTAACTGCTAAGCCCTAAAAATTGTCAAGGCATTACTTTTTCATTCTTCTGCATTTTGTATTGTTAAACATGACAATGTAGTAGTCTTTCACTTAACATATGAAATGTTATAATTTTGAAATCCGTTCCTGAATATGAAATACAAAAAATAAGTGTGTTTAAAAAAGAAGTTATAATATTGAGGTACTGAAAATTATACTATTTTTTAGGATCTTAATCACGTAATTTTATTTATTCAAAGAAATCAACGTTACAAGCCTTTTACAGGTCCCATGGTCACACCTCACTCACAGGGTCATTGCCATGGACACGGCGAACAATGGGACCTGCAAAAACCCTGCCACCATGGTTTGTTGAAAAAAAAAAAATAAATAAAAAATAAACTCAATTTAGATCCGAAAAAATAGTTTTAATTCCAATAATTTTTTTTCATTTATTTTCCAAACAATGGGGAAACTTAAGAACTTGATATTATAAAGTTCAAATATCTACTTCGTCAAAATCACTTTCATATAATGCTTAAATCCTTTGTCATGTCATATTTTCATCCAAAACTCGAACGCCTTTACCTAATTTCAGACATATGAAAAGCCACGTGTACCAGTTTTTTAACCGACTTAAAAAAAGGAGGAGGTTCTCAATTCGACTGTAAGTTTTTTTTGTATGTATGTTACGCGATAACTCCGTCGCATTTGTCAACCGATTTTGATGATTCCTTTTTGTTGGTACGTCAGAAGTGGTCCCAATTAAATTTGAAGAAAATATTCCACTAAGCAAACTAGAGGATGAATGACTTTTGAGGTCGATTTTTTCAGTACTCTGTACTCAGATTATCTTAGGTCCGGTTCAGATGATAAGCGTTATACAAACGAACACCAATTTAATATAATAATAATACTTATGCATAAAATTGGTGTTGTTTTACATCTTACAATGTATGTTAATGGAATGCACGAAAGGAGCCTTCCCGACATACCATTCCGTTCCTGTACGTCTGACGCACGTTGCAACAATCGGCGAGTACATTTTAACAGCTATGGCAAGCATTACTGTTCATGCCATCGGTACGATAAGAAGGATGTACGTTTCACGCTTGTTATCTGAACCAGCCCTTATAAAGGTTGTGACAGATAATGTTCCCCTTGCTGATCGATTGAACTCTTACCTCGCGAGAGCTTCCATGTTGTGCATTGGTTGACCTTTAATGATGGAGCCGTCTGGCCTTGGAACGCCATGGTGGGGCATGCCGGGAGACATAAGTGCCTGGTGGTGCATGAACCCCATAGGACCAAGGTGCGTAGGGGGAGCATTGTACCCATTTGCCAGGAGAGGGGACTTCTCTAGACGCGCCATTTCTGAAACAACATTTTAGATTAGTTAAGATTTGTATGTGGTTATCTATAAATGAATTTTGGGAAGACTTCATGGAGGGCAAATACAAGACATGGGCAGCGCAAAGTCTCCCCGTATATATTCTTTTTTCCTAGCAAGATGGCCCCTTTAAGTTACGGAATGTTGGTATGTTTGAAAAAACAAATATACACGCGATTTTGCACGCGGAACAAATTTTTATTAGTGGGACCACATATTATGAAAAGAAATTTTAAAGATCACCAGAGATATATAAACCTAATAGACGGTTGTGGTTATATTCAAACATTTTTCTTGCTGCACCCCTTCAGAATATTCAGACTGACGATATTAGATAATAAATAAAGAATTACGTACTCAAATTATTCAGACTACATCGTGAAATGATTATCATACTTATGGAAATTTCCTTTTCAATTTTTAATAAAAAGCACTTAAAAGGTTTCACGTACTCGGATAAAATCCAATTAATGCCCAGTATTATTATTTAATTACTCGTTCCAATAATCGAATCGCCCGTAAAACGGTGTATCAACAATAATAAAATGAGCAATGAATTTCGAGACTATTGTTTCCTGGGCACCACAAACAACCCGTGTAAACAGACAGGGGGGTTAGCGCAAATATTCTTAAAATGACCCCCCGGTCGGAGGTATTGGGTGGTTTTCCAGTAACCCCCTCTACCTGAGGTCACCAAACGGACTAGGGCGTCGGAAACAATTAACAAGGTGTCGAATTAAACACGAATTAACGTTTGGGCCGTAAAAGGAAAGCGCCCTTTTCCATTGTGGTCCAGTTTTACAAAGGATTTCGAAATTGCTGAGTGTTAAATAAGTGCAATGTTTACTTTCATGATTAGAGGTATTGTGTGGAGAAAATTTAATTAGCTACTATCAATTTTTCCATAAAGTTCTGGAATCTTGTTTTAATATCAACTTCTTAAAAAAATTAGCAGTGTCTCAACTTTCTGAAGCACATCATATTTTTTGAATAAATGCAGTTAAATCAAGAAGTCGCTGCTCATCTGGGTCACTTTCTGGTTAGTGTTCTCAGTCTAACTTTCGTGACAATTTTTATTATTTAAGTATTCCTGTACTATACCAGAATATTAAATGCTATTTTACGATAATATCACATACTTGAATAGTTAAATAAAAATAATTGCAACCGTAATTAGGCACTGAACAATGACCGATGTTAGATAGATGGCAAGTTTACACAAATACTAAGAAGCCTATTTAGATTATAACAAACTAGTGGAGTAATTTCACAAAAAATAATTGAATATCAATTCAATAAAAATTTATAATAAGAAGCTTTTCATTTTTTTTTCTATAATTATATAACAAAATCTTTACATCATGATCTGTGACTTATTTACTTGACTGTATCAAGCTGCTCTTAGTACAGTACTCTACGCGATATTGCAAGTATTCATTAGCAACATTATAAAACTTTCGATCAGTTTAGAGTCCATAAACAATACGATATAAGTAGAAGGCAAACAGACAAGCAAATATTGTGACCAATGGTCCGGAATTAATTGCGGGCTTTATTTACTTAGTTAACCGCCACGTTATCTTCCGAGCCATACACTGTACCCACTTTGTATTTATTGTTCCAAACCACACAACACATTGTTTCGCGTTTTGCTGCCACGATCAATGTGTGTAATTTAAATTTTGCATGACTGCAGCTGCTTTTGTTGTTTAATGCTTTAAATTGAATTATTATACCTTGAATAAACTGTCCTATTCTCTGATTTTGTAAGACAGAATGTAATTTGCTAAAATTTATACTAAAGTACCGGCACGCTATGATGGCCGTTTTGACGTTTGTCCGCTCATCAAGTTTCGTATTAATTCATAACTATGTTGAAGGACCTAATTGCTGTAACAAAGTACAGTTCAGTAGCGACGTGCAGAAAAATTTATGGAATATATTATATATATATATATATATATATATATATATATATATATAATTTTACGACACAACTCGGAAATTCGAAATTTAAAGAAATGAAATCTAATACGATCGTCTCTTGTGGGATCGCTAGCCAGTACAACTTCTACCTCCGGCAACATCTAACTCGCGACAAAGCCCAATGCAAAACGAAGCAGTTTTGAATTGACGATATATTAAGTAAAAAAAAATTTTCGTTTTATTAAAACTTTTTAATCAGCTAGCCCTTACAATACTGGTTATAAATCTAAAAACTTATAGATGCGACTCACATTTGATTATATTTTTTCGATAATGAATTGAGATTTTACCTCACTATTGGAATCTGTCAAAACGGCCATCATGGCGTGCCAGTAATGTAATAACTAGGACAACATAGTATGCAGTAGCCGTAGTAGCTTTACGGTTTGACCTACCGTGTCTCACCTTCGAGATGCTCGGAATATATCTACGAAATTTCATTTGAAATTTACCATGAGTTTTTCGGTGAAGAAAAACATTTTGATGAAAGCTGCACGCTGAAGGTTCAAAAGCCTTAAAGAACTTGCTTGGTCTTAAGGCCAAATCCGCATTGGGCCAGACTAGCGGACTATCTTCCAAACCCTCGCCTGAAATGAGACCCGTGTCCAGCAGTGAGACGTATAAATGGATTGATGATGATGATATTATGCAGGTGTAGATTTAAAAAAAACATGAGTACCTAAGTACACAATGACAATAACAATGTACTTAACAGTAAATACCAAATTAAAGGACGAACAAGGGTGTACAATAATAGGGCATCTCAAAACCACAATCAGGTCACTAAACCAAAAATCATATTTACAAATCCCCAGCGCAAAGTAACAACCAGCAACCGCACCGGTCAACCGCACTTACTAATTAACTAAATACGTGTTAAATCTCGTAATAACCTGCGGTTGAAACATCCCTTATCCGCTCTCTCTTTTTTACAACCGTAATTAAATGGAGCTATCTCTTTCCGATTGGGTATCGTTCAGTGTTTTGTTACAAGTTGGTGTGATGTTAGAACCGGGCATGCAGGTGAACTTTTACTGTATCAATTTTGTATTGTTACGCTTGATCACGAGGAAAACAATAAAGTCGAATTAGTAACAAATTCATTTGCCCGTGATTATCATTTTTCATAAATAATAATAGCCATTGAAATATATTTATAGCTATTAGATTATTGCTATCATAATTTTGTAAATCTTAAAAACTATTATAGCAATTCGTAAAAAGTTCCTAAAAAAAGACCTTAGATCCTTCCCAAAATGTTGAAGATAACCAACAAAAATGCTCATCGTTTACTGCTATGACTATTATTAAGTGAATCCACTGATCAGGCATTTAAAGAAATGAAACGTCGATTTCGAACCGCTATTATATCGATTTTCATCGATTTATTGATGGAATATCGACTGTCCTCGACAAATGATCGTACCGACCAAATTACCGACCATTATTTCGAATTAGAATCGATAGAATCGGAACCCCAATTATATCACTTATGTGTTTAAAGGAGGTTGGGATAAACGCAATCATAACCGCAAAGTTGAGGACCTTTTTTGTAGAATAAAAAAGGTGTTCCGACAGCCGCGTTTGATAGGTGTTTGTTTTTACTTTTTATTCAAACTAAAACAGGAGCTTGATGCGAAATTTTTAAACATAACCAAAGCCACGTGATTCCAGAGCAAATTAATTTAGGCCTCCAATAACGCAACAAAGAACTTTACATTGGCATGTCAAAAGATAAAGAAACAGACATAATAACCATTGGGTTTTATTGCGGGCAGTTACAAAATGGTCAAACGAGATGGGCATAAATGATTGGCTATAAAACAAAAAGAGCGAGTCTCTTCACGACAAAGTAAACTTCTACTTGTGGGAACTGTCAAATTCACATTTTAAATGTCTACTACTTACCTATTCGTTGAAAACAAGTTCAATAATTTTTAACGGTATATAGGCCAATAGGTATGTAATTGGTCACTAGCAGATATAAGAGGCAATACTTACTTAAAAAAGTAAAGTTACATTTTTTTATAAGTGCAGCGATTAAAAGACGTCTGTATTTTTAATTAATAGGATAAAATTATGCTCAAGAACCTACTAATTATTTAACTGCGTAGACCTATAGTCAAAATCAATAAGCATTTGCTTGAACAGACTACGATGCAACCAATTATTTTAATACTTTTAACGCTTTCGTTGAGCAAGAAACATCTTTTTATCGCAAGTTCATAAATGTCGAGCGATGTTCCCCTCGATTTGCGGACAGCGAAAGGAGTGGAGTGCTTATCCTTGTATGTAAATAAAATAAAATGTATGTTTTATTAAAGTTTTGTTGCTGTCGTAAAATAGGAAATATTCTATCGTAAATGTAGCCTCCTAGATTTTATATCTCGGTGGTTTTAACTGGAAATATTAAGATTGCCATAATGGCCTGTAAATCACACGAAAGGAACAATTTATTAGTTGCATTAAGTGCAGAAATAAATACGAGGATAATAAATGGAATACAAAGTAGCGTTTCAAGTAATTACAAACACGGTGCCAGCCATAGATTTAGTATATCTATGGTGCCAGCACACCCACTAGCTTGCAGGATCCAACAATTCCATAAACGCAATAAAATCATGTATTAAAGAAGTTGCTAAGTCATTTTGATTTTAAATTATATTAAAATATGAAACATATCCAGCCCTATACTACCAAAGTCCTGTAATTTACAAAAAATAATATATCACTAACGTCTCCCAGGTATGAGTATAAGGTAGGCCCACAAATCTCCAACGGCCGGCAAAACGAAGAAATTCGAAAATGATACGAAACAAGCGAATTAAAAGCAAATTACAGTCGGCTGGCAATCGTAGCGTTTACAATAAACACATAATTGCACGGTGAGCATACCAATGGCATATGCGATTGGCCAAAATAACAGTTGGCGAGCTGCGATAAATGGCCACCAAAGTAAGGAATGACATTGCAGAAATATTACGAAACGAAACCATCA